TGGGGGGGGGGGGGGGGGGGGGGGTATGGGGGCATGGGGGGGGGGGTGGGGGGGTATAGGGGCACTTAGGTGGTGGGATGCAGGGGGTATCAGGGTATCTAGGTGGGTGGGGAGCAGCAGGGGTGTCTGGAGAATGGGGGCAGAGGAGGGCAGGCGGTGGTGCAGGGGGCAGAGGTGGAGGTATCTGGGGAGGGGCTGGGGCAGTAAGGGGGTGGGAGTGCGGGCAGTGGGAGCAAGTGGGGCCAGGAGCTGCCGAGGGGGGTGCAGGGGCGAGTGATGTATCGGGGCGATCTGGACTGGATGGGCGGCACGAGGGTTGGGGCAGAAAGAGGGGTGCAGCTCTTCTGTGCCCGGGGCATGGGGCAGGACTGTGGATAAATATCATATTTTTTTCCATTTTCTTGGTGGGGGTTTTGCAGGCAGCAAGAGGGAAAACCTGGTTCCTTCATCCCCTTCTGGTTAAGTTTCAGGCCGTGGTGTAGAAATGGGAAACCAAACCCTCCCCAGAGGGGAGGGCACGAGAGGGAGGTGTGTGTGGCCCTGGGGGTGATGGTGGGTTTCCTCTTCAGTTTGCTGCCTCGGGCTGTCTCAGAGGATCGGTTGGGGAGGTGATGAGTGTTAACCTTGGTGCTAGGCCCGTGCTGGTACTGGTGATCTCTGCTGAAAACGGGAGAAATGTGGAGTTATTCTAGCATTGGGTTCATTTTTTTCCCTTCGTCCTGGCTGTGTTGGTGCTCCTTGTGAGTGATCAGAATTGTTCGTTTGATATAGCTTCAAAAAAATACAGGAGGGGACTTGCCCTGGGTAGATCGTTCGTGGTGAAACCTTTGGGATTTACTTGTTGCTGGCGGTGTTTTGCAAAATTGAGGTGGGGAAACAACCAGGGTGATTTTTACTAGTAGAAGAGCTGACCTGGGGAAGACAGTCGGGAACTTTATATGCCCTTGGTCCAGTTAAATATCAAGAAAGTTGAGGTCCTTCTAGCAATTCATTGCATGCGTTTATCACGTTGGTTTTCGAGTTGTTCTTGGTGTTGAAACGGTGGCGGTGAACGGGGCTGGGTCCTGCGGAGACTCGCGTGTGTTTTTGACTCTGTGCTTTGGGAATTGTCCTCTCCTTTCCAAGCCAGTGGGAAAATATTTTTTCAGGACTGGGGCTATAAATCGGCAGCAGAATCGCTGGAGTGAACAATCTGGTGCTGTTTGACTCTCCAGTGTTAAATACAAGTATTCTGGGATGTCGATTGTGTGAAAACACCACACGTTGTAGCTGGTAAATGTGTTTAAATATAATTCTTTGTGTGTGGAGCCTTCTCGTGCCCCCTGCGTGGAAGTGGCTTGGTGGTGCTCCGTGTCTTGATGCACACATGTGTGGCTTATGGTATGTTTGGAAGCAGTTTAAATGCACCCTGTCATCTTCCTTTTGTAAAGCTTCTTACTCCTGGATGGAGCAGCTATTGCTTGGCCATTTATGTCATCGGATAACACGGGCTGCCCTGTCCTCCAGGAGCTAGTCCTCCTCTTCGGCTTGGGAGGCTGAGTACATGCGCCGATGTATCCCAGCTTATGTCCAGCAGGAAGGATTGCACGGTGGCTTGTGATCCAGGTTCAGTTCCCTGCTTTATGTTACCTTCCTCTGTGACCGTGCTCAGATTGCTGGGTCTGTGCCTCAAGTCTGATTCCTTAGCTCTCCAAAGGTGCTGAATTACCCTCTTCCTGCTGGAGACTGCAGCCTTTTGCCCCTTAAAGTGCAAATCAGATCACTGGATTTGTCACTTCGAGCCACACTGGGGAGTTGCAGGCAGAAGTCACCCCATTTGCATGGTGGTTAGTTATCCCATTGAGCCATGGTGCTGGCCAGTGTGCAGAGCTTAACTAGTTGTCATGAGAATAGTCTGCTTTGTGCAGGGCTTGAAATAGCCACTTGTCCACTCCCCAGGAGCGAGTGGGAAGCTTCCCGCGATGCGTTTGGAAGGAGTTGGGGGCAGCAAAGGCAGAATTTCAGCTCGTCGTATTTTTTCCCTCCTTGCTCTTTGGGTTGTGAAGATGCTGTCCAAAGTGGGGGCTGCATTGTGCCACCTCCGTGGGCATGCAGTGCACCCCCTGCTGCGGAGGGAAAGTCGCAGGAGTGCCTTGTTGCTGCTGCTCGCAACCCTGTGGGAAGCAGGAGTTGAGTTGCTGAGAAGCAGAATGATTTCACCATGTTGCTGTTTGGGAAAGAGGCAGGCTGTGGGGGCGGGTGACCCAAAAATGGTGGCCGAAAGAAGAGCGGAGGAAGAGTGTGCAGCGGTCGGGGCATCCTCAGGTGAGGGCAGCTGCGAGGAGGAGCTCTCCCCCTCTTCTCGGGGCCGGAAGGGGATTCAGTTTGTACTGGATCCTTGCTACTGGTGGGATACTCATGCATGTTGTAGGGTTTCAGTAGGGTGCTAGGAGCCTTTGCATGAAATGCATGGCAGCAAATTAGCAGCAGTGGACACCCCTAAGCTGAACACTAAGGTTTGCACAAAGGCTGCTACCTTGGTTTGCTCAGGTGGCTGAAATGCTTGGCTTACTCAAGGTTTCCTCACCTGGGCGGAGGGGTTGACACTCAACTAACTGGTGTTGGAACAAGCGCCTGGAAGTGGGAAGCACTGTTCAGCGGCTGAGTTGCTATTTGACTCTTATAATTGCTGGCAAGAGCTCTTAACGTTTGGGTGGCACTAGATGTTTGGCAGAGTGTTTTGGACTTGAGACTTCCTGGTGCACGTTGTCCGTAATCTCTGTGCTTTCTGATCCAGCATTTGCCTCCTGGTAGTCTCCTGAGCCCATCGCTTTGGCAGCATAGGCTGTCTCTTTCTTTGGATCTCCTCTGAAAGGAGCAAAACCCCCCAAGAAATGAAAGCAGGGCAACATGTAGCTGAAAGTAATGGTTCTGGGCAAGGTGAATGGGGTAGCTGCCGTGGACACCGATTTTGGGGTGGAGGCATGGAAAAAGTGGTGGCACCGTGATGGCAGGAGCAAACAGAAGTTGCTGCTCTCTCTGTGCCCGACTGCATCCCCGTGCTGCTATTCCTGGTCTGCCCTGGGTCACAAGCTAAACTCGTTAGAGTTGAACGCGGCCCAGTCTTTCTTCTGCATCCATCCTCCTCTTGGTAAACAGAGAGGGCCACATTTTGTCCTTGGCCACGTGTGTGGAAATCCAGCAGAAGGCAAGCGCATGTGTAACGCACGTATACGCTGTTTTTAACTCCTGCCCGCCAGCCCCCAAGTTCATCTTGGCACTCTGGGGTTCACCACTGTCCCGTGAGCATTTCACCTTCCTGGCCCCTCCCTGCCACTACCGGGTGGCACGAAGGGAGTAGACCACGCAGAACGGTCCACGTTTCTTTTCAAAGCTCTTTCTGAAAGCAGAAGTCACGTAGAGGAGTTGAGCTTGGGAAATTTGCATGTCTTGGAGGCCCAGCAAGCGTCAGGCATTACATCCTGCTCGCGTTGCGCAGCTCTGCAGTGGTCATCCCCCAAAGAAACTATGTGACTCTAGATAAGAGTCGTGGTCTGGCAAAGGTGCCGAGTCAAATAGCAATGTTTGTTTTTTGTTAATATAAAGACGCTATAAATGCCCAGCGGTCCTGTTCTCTGCAGAGGCCTTGTCTGTGCACAGCGGGAGCAGGTTTTTAGCCATGAGTGTGGCAAGTGCATGGTGGGTTTTTTTCAAGGTGGAGTCCAAGCCAGATCTTCTTTATCTGGATCGGGCTCTGTGCATTCAGCTAATCTTAAATATGCTTGAGATTTGAAATGGCTCCAATTGCTTGCTGCTGTCTTTGGTCCAAGCTCGTTCGAATTCTTTGTAGGAAAAACCTTTACAAACTGCTGTTTGTATTTAAAAAAAGAAGAAGAAGAAAAAAAAGGGAAATTCAGGCCAACTGTTAAGTGTTGAGCCACAAACCAGGAAACTTAGTTAAGGAGACCGCTGCCTCGTACGCCCCTTCCAACAGAGACACGCTGGAGCCTGAACTCGAAAAAGTTTTTGCCTGGTTTGCAAAAACTGCAGCTTTTCCAGCCTTTGAAGACTTCCGGAGGACTTGCGGGTGAAAACTGGAAAAGGCCGTGAAATGGGAGAGGTCTTGGGTTGTGCTTGAAACGCTTTATTTTCATGCCTCTTTATGGGTGGGAAAAGTTAAGGATGGACTTTTCCAAAATCTCCATGCTGAAAGGGCCGGGTTGTGTCAGTCGGTGAATCAGGGGCTGGGTGCAAGCAGCACTTCCTCCAGCTTCTGTCCTGGAGCCACGACCGCGAGTGCCCGGCGGGCTGCGTGCTGTTATTCGTCATACTTCAATACCTTTTCCTGTCCTGGTCAGGTGGTTGCCAAGCCTCTTTTATAGCCCTCTCCTTTCCATTAGTCTAGAGGGAATAATCAGCGTGCAGAATTGACGTCCAGCTCATGTTCTTCAAAAGCTATTTTAACTTACCCCGTTCAGAAGGCTTAAAATCTATTTTTAAATATATAGATGAGTTGTTGGGAGGTTTATTTCAAATATAAAAAGCGCTGCAGGGCTTTTTGTCCATTCTGGCTCGCTCTGCTCTCGGAGCTCATCCTTGCCTGGTTTGGGTTGGTTGCTTCCGACCCCCCACACATGCATTAATCCTTTCTCAACGTGTCCTTGTTATCCGGCGCTCTCCCTCTAAAACAAGGCAAATGCCCCTTGGCACATGTCACTCAGCCATTGCAAGGGGTAGTTGCTCTGCCAGCTGGGGTGGCTGCTGGGTCGAATCCTGCAGCATGCTGGTTCAAGCGGAATTTGTCTTTCAGTGGCCGTGGAAGGGCATTTTCACTTTGTGGGTTACCAAAGGGGAGAGAGGCGATCTCTGCAGCAGTACAACCCCTTGACCAAACACAAATGTTAACTTGATGGTTACTATATCGCTCTCCGCATGACAAAGCTCTAGGAGTGTAGGTTTTAGAATACCCCTTGGCACAGGTTAGCAAAGACGATCGCTTCGCCACAAGTTGTAGTGTTGTGTTTATAAGCCAAATCTTAAATGTGGGACCTCTCCTCGCCTTTTGGTATCGGCCACTTGCATTTGCCTGGATGTTTTAAGGGCAAGCGTCAATGGGGAAAGTCTGTCCCGGAGAAGCGGCTGACCAAGGGGAGGGAGGGTCATTTTGCAAGGGAGCT